CACCCCACCCCACCCCCACTATTTCCCACACCTGGACTCACATCCTTGGGCTGGGTCTCCCTGCCTGGGCTGTGGGATAGATAGCCTTGATTCGTCTCATCGTCTCAACTCTTCAATTTGCATGATGGCAAGGAGGGAGATGGCTCTCAGTCACTGCTTCTGGGGGTGGGGCAATGTGGCAGCTCATTTATCACTCTTTAGAGGAGGCAGAAAAAAATGTACAGTCAGTACATGCCGAAGTATGGCTGGCACAAGGGCAAGCGGATGGAAGAGGGGATCTAATGAGGACTTCTTTAGCTTAGGGGTCTGGGACCCCATTGCCCTGGTTTCTGGAAAAATCTCTCTTTACCGAGTATTATGGTAGTGCTTGGGCCTCATCTCGGATGGGAGGGCAAGGTGGAGGGAGATCCTTCCTTCTGCTCTGGGGAGCAACATGTGCTGTCCATTTCAGCTTTGTTCCCCTCCGTCTCTGCAGGTAGGCAAGGCCAGAGGCTTCCTCAAGAACTTTCTGATCGAACCCTTCGTCCCACACAGTCAGGTACGTGTGAGGTGGCTCCGAGCTGGACCTTCTCCCTCCTAGAGCCTTGTGTTGACGGACCCTGAAATGATGACAGGAGAAATCAGGCTGCTGCAGAAAAGGCAAAGGGACCAGAGTCTCTGAAGCTGCACTGAGGGCCTGAGGGGGCTACGGAGCAGGGAGTCCAGAGATGAAGGAAAAGGCTTAGTTTGCAGCCAGAAGGAATCAGGGCTGGTGACTTCCCAGTGTTGGGATGAGCAAGATTTGAAGTCAGGACCCCTTCCCTCTTGAAGCAGGTGGCGTGGACTGGCTCTGGCGGGGGCTTCTCAGGACATAGCCCTGATTCCAGATTCCAGAACAGGTCATTCCGGCTCAGTCTGGACTGTCAGCCAGCGAGGCAGTGGCCTCTTCTGTCCTCTGGTCCCCAAGGGTTGGGTAGTGAACGGGCCTCCCCTGGTGAATGTTCTCTGTGGGTTTTAGAAAAGAGACCACAGGGGTTGGACTCTGTGCCCAGTTCAGTGCCCCTCGCCCATGTGGTACTCTTGTCCTCTGTAAGGCGGAGGAGTTCTACGTCTGCATCTATGCTACCCGAGAAGGGGACTACGTCCTGTTCCACCATGAGGGAGGGGTGGACGTGGGCGATGTGGACACCAAAGCCCAGAAACTGCTTGTCGGTGTGGATGAAAAGCTGAGTCCTGAGAAGATCAAGAAGCACCTGTTGGTCCATGCCCCTGAAAACAAGAAAGAGTTGAGTGAGAGGGTCTGCAGAGAGGTGGCGGAGGGGGTACGGGCAAGGCCAACAGGCTCTGGGCACAGAGCAGGGAAAGCAGAGTGGTCCTCCCTCCTGGGTAGAAAAGGTGGGGAGCAGGCGGTAGGACAGCCCTTCTCTGTTCCAAGGAGGGGATCTGGGGGGTGGCTTGCCCAGACTGAAATATGCCGTCAGCGTCCCTCACCTCCTTGCCCCTGTCTGTCTGGTGCCCCCTCCTTTGGCTCCCTGCCTGACAGCTCCTTTCCGCCTCAGTGGCTAAAGAGCAGTGTCCAGGGAGCAAGCTTAGCAGTGGAAAGCGAGAGGTTCGTGGGGTGTGGGGATGACGGGAAGTGGAACTGTCAGTGGTAGTGACATTGCTGCTGAGCCTGCTCCCTGATGGATTGATTGTCCCCCTCTCCCTCCCCCTTTAGAGTTCTGGCCAGTTTTATCTCCGGCCTCTTCAATTTCTATGAGGATCTGTACTTCACCTACCTTGAGATCAACCCGCTTGGTAACTGGCTCTGCTGGGGTGGGATGGGGTACAAGTCAGTTATAGGAGGGTCCCAGTGCCTATAGTAACCCTGGCCTTGACATTCGGAGGACCAGACCTCCACTTGCAGAGGACTGTACAGGCGGGTGTGCATGTGCAGAGGGAATCTCCCAAGCTCATTGAGTGGGCTCCTGTTTCTGAGCTCTCAGAAGACCATGATTATTATTGTTTTTGATCAACTCCAGCGTCTTTCTTTGGCCTTAATTTGTCCTGTGATGGGGAAGTTCTCGTTTTGATCTGACTACTCTGTGGCTATTCCTACCCATGGGTTTGGCCATTGGCTCAGAACAGGGCTGCCTCTGCACTGGTCTGATTGACCCTTTAGGGCCTTTTTTCCTCTCTGCTCCCAGAGGCCCCTTCCTCTGCCCCTCCAGGAGTTGGTCAGTCACTGACCCCCAAGGCCAGAACACCTTGGGCCAAGCCTCTCAGGCACGGAAGCAGGCAGGTGGTGTGGACTGGCTCTGGCCAGGGCTTCTCAGGGCAAAGTCCTGATTCCAGATTCCAGCTGGGGATACATCCGATCTAATGGACCAGATGGCTCTGTGCTGACTTAATTAGCTAAATGGCCCTGGGGGACAGGGAGGACGGATGTTCAGTGAGGCTGCAGTAAATGAACCCTCCTGGCTGGGGCCCCGGGCATCCCACGGCTTCCCATTCCCCCTGACAATGAGGCTTCCCCTAGCCAGACCCCAGGCAACCCAAATGTGCATACATATGTGCACACCTGGGGGGGGGGTGTCTTCTGGCAGCAACCTGTACCTTAAACATTTTTTTAATGGCAGGGTCCTGGATAGATGAACAGTTAGCTATTTCAGGCACAGGATGTAGCGTTTTATAAACGTGTTTAAAATTGCCATAGCATCTAAAACAGACTTCCCTATCATGTTACCTAAAGGTTAGGGAATGGGGAAACAGGTCTTCTAGGATTTTTTTTTCTTTGATGGGGGGAAGCTGTGTCTCCATGAGAATCATTCTGGTTTCTTGCCAAGCGAGGGCGTCCTTAGGCCTGTATGGGACCTGGACCCCATGGGAGTGGTGTGTGGGGAAGTCTGTGGAGGGGTTTGGAGGCTGGTGGTCGCCTCTGCTTGGGGCTAGTGTCTGACTGACCCTGCTTTTCTCGCAGTCGTGACCACAGATGGCGTCTATGTCCTTGACTTGGCGGCTAAGGTGGATGGCACTGCCGACTACATCTGCAAAGTGAAGTGGGGTGATATAGAGTTCCCTCCCCCTTTCGGTCGCGAGGCGTATCCAGAGGTAAGGCTGGTTTGGGAAGGAGATGGAGACTGATGTGGGTGGGTAGTGGGGGAGGGGTGACTAATCTCAGATGAGCATTTGGCCCCCTCGTGGGCTGTATATTTGGCAGGGAAAGGCAGGCTGAGAACCATTTAATTTTCTTAAAACCCCAAAGGGGGTGGGGGTGGGAGTCAATCAAGCCTTTGAATCCCAGCCAGAAATCCTTTTAGGCCTCTCTTCAATCAACCTCCCTGGGCTCTTTACTTGATTTGTTGCTTCTCGGTAACTCTGAATGGCTCCCCTTAATCCTGACAGGAAGGTAGTTCTCTCTGCCACTTGCTGAGAATTTTAATTGCTCCTTCCTACCCCATCATCAGAGAGGTCCTCGCAGCAGAATCAGGCCCATGTGACGTAACCCAGGCCAAGCGAAGAAGCTGCACTGGGAGAAGGGGTGGTAGGGTCGTTAGATGATTCTAGGCAGGCCAATGCTGGGAGTGGGGGTTGTAGAAGTGGCGTGAATAGGGAGGCTCGGGGCTTGGGCAGAGGGCCAAGGACTTGAAGTCAGACAGAAAGGAATTGGGAGATTTGTCCCAGGTGGTGACTGTGGCCATGGGTGGTTTTGGTACTTGAAGATGCCATTATATTTTGTCCCAGGCAAGTAGGGCCCATGTACCCCCTTCTCTCTGGCCCTGTTATGACAATTGATAGGGAAAGAGGAGTAGAGGGGGGGCCTGGGGGTGAAGAGGGTGCCCCCAGGGCCCACCCGTTGTTGTCTGGTTCCTAGGAAGCCTACATTGCAGACCTGGATGCCAAAAGTGGGGCAAGCTTGAAGCTGACCTTGCTGAACCCCAAGGGAAGGATCTGGACCATGGTGGCTGGAGGTGGTGCCTCTGTCGTGTACAGGTGACTGAGGGGAGTGCTGAAGGGATGCCAGTCCGGTCTACCCAGGGTCCACGCATGCGTGGCCTTGATCAAACTGCTTCACCTCCGAGGGTCTCCCGTTTCTTACTCTGGTGTAGAACAGGAACTGTGGAGCATGCCAGAGGGCTCCAAGGGTCTCTGGTGTGTAACTTCTGTTTGCTTCAAAATGAAGTTATTTTTATTAGTTTTAGTTCTCATCATTAGCGATACGTACTCCACGTAAAGGTACAACAAATACAGAAAGTGAACGTTGCTGTGTCCCCACCCCTCCCTCCACCAGGTCATCACAGTGAAGGCTATGCTGTGTGTCCTAGGCATTTTAGCACTTATTTTTTTTCCCAATAAATTTTATTGGGGAACAGTGTGTTTTTCCAGGACCCATCAGTTCCAAGTCAAGTAGTTGTCTTCAATCTAGTTGTGGAGGGTGCAGCTCCTTGGCCCATGTGGGAGTCAAACCGGCAACCTTGGTGCTATGAGCCTGCACTCTAACCACCTGAGCTAACCAGCCACCCCAGAAGTGTGCATACTTTTACACTTTATAGAAATATTAAGATCCTATTCTACACCTTTTGCGATAATTGACGGTTCTCCACTGAAAGCACCGTAGGTGTCTGCTCGTTTCTAGGCCTATGATCGGCCCCATCCTCTTCTGGCCTTGGCTGGGCTTCCCTCTGGCTGCAGCAGTTTTCCTTCTCCTTCAGACAGCCTGGCAGGAACTCCTGGAATGTTCATTTTTTCCTTGTGTCGAGAGGTTCTCTTTGTTCGTTTTACTAACCCTTGTCAGTCAGTCCAGGACCCCCTGATGGCCCAGGCCCGCAGAGTGCGCTGCCTGGGAGAATCTGAAGCAGCATAGTTAACATTCATGTGTGACTCGGGTGGGGCTTGAGGGTCTGAGGTCTGAGAGGTCAGTTCCACAGTCTGACTTTAGGGATTTGGGGGTGTCTGTGTGTCCTCCCAGTCACCAGGCTGCCACTCTCTGCTGCTAGAGTCTGAGCCAGCACTGACTTCTGTGTCTCCCTGGCAGTGACACCATCTGCGATCTAGGGGGTGTCAACGAGCTGGCAAACTATGGGGAGTACTCGGGCGCCCCCAGCGAGCAGCAGACCTATGACTATGCCAAGACCATCCTCTCCCTCATGACCCGCGAGAAGCACCCAGAAGGTGAGACACACACGCCCCCCACACAACACACAACACACACACACACACACACACACACACAGGATAGCCTGGCGTGCTACAGGGGAACACTAGGACTAGGAGGCAGCGAGGTTGTGGTCCTGGTCCTTTGCAACCTGGGGATAGTCGTTTAACTTTTGGACCTCAGGTTCCCTGACTGCATAGTGGGCAGTGACAGCATCTGTCAGATGGGGACTCTGAGAGGACAAGGAGGTGATGTGTACATAAAGCCCTATAAGGAAGTGCACGGGAGGAGGTGGGGCGTGCTCTCACTCTGATATAAACACAGCTCTTTCAGGCCCACTGAGACGTTTATTACCTAGCTGTGCGATTCCAGCTTCCCTTTACCACAAGTCCGTTGTTTGGGGACTACACGTACCAGTTTCCCTTCCCTGAAGTCAGGTAGAGAGTCCCACCAGGCGTATCCAGAAACCAGGCTGTGTTTCTGGATGCCCACCTGGGAATGATGTAGTTTCTGTGGGTTTGTATTAACCACCTGCTCAGTGGTGTAGGTGATGAGGGTGGAGCCGATAAGGCTGACAGACCTCTGGAGAGACCAGCTTGCTCCCCCTGATTGCACTGTTACCTCCTAACAGTTGGTCCCCCAACTGACCCTTGCTCAGAGGCGAGAATGCTCGGTGGGTTTCCTGGTAAGATGCTCAAGTCTACCTTTCTGACCTTTCCAACTCCCTCTTGTCCAAACCCAGGCAAGATCCTCATCATCGGAGGCAGCATTGCGAACTTCACTAATGTGGCTGCCACGTTCAAGGTAACCAGCCATAGTGACTGTGCGGTTTCTGGGGAATGTGGGTTTGGGGGAATCAAGGAAGGGAGGTTTCCACCAGCAAGGTTTAAGACAGAAGCAAGCTTGCATGAGGTACCCAGCCTGGCTAGGGGCTCTTGCCCCAGCGTCCCTTGTGGAGAAGGCAAAAGACACTGGG